CAGAGTACCATCCCAAAAGTAAAGTGTGCTGGTAGCAGCCTCATGCTGTGAGGCTGTTTTTCAGCATCAGGGACTGAGGGACTCATCAGAGTAGAAGAAAACCTCAATGCACCAAAATATTGAGATAGCCTTAATGAAAACCCGGTCCAGAGCATTCAGAACCTCAGACTGGGCAGAAGGTTTACCTTCCAACAGGACAATGGACCTAAGCACACAGCAAGAGTGGCTTATAGACAACTCTGTGAATGTCCTTGAGTGGCCCAGCCAGAGCCTGAGCTTGAACCCAATCAAATATTTCTGGAGAAACCTGAAAATGTGCATCTGCTCCCTTCCAACCTGACAGAGCTTGAGAGGTGAAGAGATGGCAGATAATTGACCTGAAAATGTGCGTCTGCCCCCATCCAACCTGACAGAGCTTGAAAGGTGAAGAGGTGAGGTGAAGAATGGCAGATAATTGCCAAATGCTAATGAGCAAAGCTTGTCGCATCAAACAAAAAGACTTGAGACTGTAAAGGTGCTTCAGCTAAATATTTAGTTATTTGCAATGTACTTATTTCAGTTTTTTTATTTTTAATTAATTTACGAAGTTGTGAGAATTCTGTTTTTGCTTTGTCAGTATGGTGTATGGAGTGTTGATTGATGTGGGAAAAAAGGTACATTTAAGCAGTTTAACATAAGGCAGCAACATAACAAAACGTGAAAAAAATGAAGGCACCGTATGTGTTATTGATCATGTGAATGATTTCACTTACAGCTCATGCTTCTGATGAAGCTCAAGATGCTCTTTGAAACATCTTAGATCATGGTGGAGAACATGATCAGCAGGTTTTGATCATGTGCTGCTGTCATTAAAGGAATAAAAAAGAAAACTTTTAACTCATTATGCTAATAACATTTGTAATGAAAAATGGCATCTTCAGTAGGGGTCTCAAATATTTGAAACAACTTATGTATCCTAAAAAGATTCAAAAGTTCAGAAAGTTTTGGGATGGCACTTTTTAATTTTAAATGTTTTCTAAAGAATTTTTACGAATGTTTTTGATTGGTCACCAAGGCTGCATTTATTTGAAATATGGTAAAGAAATATTGTGAAATATTATAACAATTTAAAGGATTTCTATTTTAATATTCTTTTCTATATTTAAAATGTATTATTTTAATATTGTAGCTTTCTCAGACAAGGACGAGGCGTTTTGATGTACAAGGGGTGTTTATTTGGGCTGTTGTCGGCCACAACCCACGCCGTACACACCCCGACTTCTAAGAGAACCGCACTCATTCTCCCCCCTCCTTCTCTCTCTTTCCCCTCACACACACACAGGGGCGGAGCCTCTTTTCACATCCAACTCGAACATCCAATAACAGTTCGCAACACAAAAATGAATACAGTGCAACACTAACATTAAGCACATTGTTATCTATAACACAACATGCTTGAACATGCTACAATATTTTTTTTAAATGGAATTTGTTTCTGTGATGACAAGCTGAATTTTCAGCATCATTACTCCAGTCTTCAGTGTCACATGATCCTTCAGAAATCATTCTAATATGCTGATTTGCTGCTCAAGAAACATTTCTTATTATTTAGCAATGTTGAAAACAGTTGTGCTGCTTCATATTTTTGTGGAAACCATGGTAAAAAAAAATTCCCAGGATACTTAGATGAATATAAAGTCCCAAAGAGCAGCATTTATTTGAAATATGGTCTTTTGTAGCATTATCAATTGATTTTAGCAGTTAAATGCATCTTTGTGGAATAAAAGTATTAATTTCTTAAAAAAAAAATTGTATTGACTCCAAAACTTTTGAATGGTAGTCTAAGAAAGTATATTATGCAGAAACTATTTACTGTACTTTTACATAGGTTGTCTTCTTTAGATCGACTGCTCATATGTTGTTTGTTGTCTGTAGGATATCATACTGCACGGCTGATAAGATGCATGATAAAGTGTTTGCCTACATCGCTCAAAGTCAGCGCAACGAAACGCTGGAGTGTCACGCGTACCTCTGCACCAAGAGGAAAGTGGTGAGTGTGTGTTCATATGAGACACTCCCTGTCTTTCCTTCAGTCTATAAATAGTGTTATACGTTAAGACCACACTTCCTCTGAGAGAGAGAAACCAGTGCACTGTCTTTCTATCCATGACAAGAAATGTGGCGTTGACACGTCTCTTCCCTTTTCCCCATCTGTCTCAGGCTCAGGCGGTGACGTTAACGGTGGCTCAGGCTTTCCGTGTGGCGTTTGAGTTTTGGCAGGCTGCTAAAGAAGGTATCTCTTGTTTATCTTTCTTTCCGATTCTTGCTGTCTTTGTTATGCTGAGAAGCACAAATTCACGTGTGTCCTACTTAAAGCTGGAGTGTGTAATTTCCACACCACTAGCAACACCAAACACAAGTCCAAAAATAATGACTGTTTTCAAACAGGTTTCTCAAATGCTTCCTCCGTCTGCTATTGGTCGTTTATACTAGTAGCCCCGCCCCAAACTTACTCTATTGAATTTTTTTAATTAGTTTTGTAATATGTCTATGTACTTCTTGTTAATGTCATTTTAGTTTTAGTTTTTGTACATAAAAATGAGAGTTAACGAAATAAAACGAAATAAAAATAAGAATCATTGCAACTAACTGAAATAAAATAAGTTTAGTTTTTTTATGGTTTATTTTGTTTCAGTTAAAGTTTGTCAAGTAAAAAAAATTAATTAGTTAACTATTATAATAACCCTGGACCATTTGCATTCATATATGTTTAACCCACAATATACATAGAAAAAAATCAATTATGTCATTTAAAGTATAAAAAAAAAGAAGTTTTTTTTTAATGATTTAGTATTGTTTCTGTATTGCTATATATTGGAACCATTAAAATAGAATCCAGAAAATAATGGAAAACAGAATTAGGTAAAGATAAAACTGTAAAACTCAATTAATTAGACAGGCTTTTTAATTAATACAATTTAATTTAACCATTAAAACAGAGTATAGAAAAATGAAAGAATTTGGAAATCAAACGGATTTCTTAAGGCCCTATAATTAGAATAATTTTTTTGTGGTGATAAAAATAGATGTAAGTGAACAATAGCTTTTAAAATTACTTAAAATACATATATAATAGCAATGACGCAATAATAATTAGTTCAAATAAAGTATCAAAAGCAAGAAGTCATATGGTTTTATTGAACAAAATTGTTAAAATACATAATGTATTATAAACAATAGAGCTAATGTACATTTCGCATTACAACAAAGGCCTGCAGGGGGCGCCAATGGCCTGATGATTATTTTTACACATTGCTGTGCGATCTAATACTTCTTTAATATTAACCATCAAAACATGTAAACTCAGAGTGAGGGTTTGAGCTTTTATTTTGAAACCGTGATGTATTCTCCTGAGTTTGCATAGATTTATAAATTTATATTTACCTTACAAATCTGATGAAATGGCGCACGTTGCGTTCCCAGATGAACGTTATAATAATCCCGAACTCACAACAACATGCAGAGATGGAGTTTGAGCTGCTCCACACATGTAAATGATAACAGTTCCTTTGGAACTACTGTGAACGGAGCCGCTGAGTGACGCATGTACTTAACCTACACGCATGTAAATAATTAAAGAGCATATACTGTATTAGAACTGCATCGTATATAATTATTTAATTAAATCGTAGCGTTTGTGAATTCACAATTATGCTTAATTATGATTTTTAAATGGGTTTAATATGTCATGCAGCCTTGGGAAACAGTCTAATAATCTGTTTTATGGATTCTCGTCCGTGAAATGCGCCACTTCCGGTATTTTGCCGGTTAGTCGACGTGAGCAAAATGAAGTCGAGGATTTAAAAAAATCGAATAGTCGAATAAAATCGACGAATCGCAACAGCCCTACTTACAAACACAACTTTTCACTTCACTAGACATTAGCTGATGCACTGGAGGCATGTGTCAATTACTTGTGGATTATTGTGATGTTTTTATCAGCTGTTTGGACTCTCATTCTGACGGCACCCATTCACTGCAGAGCATCCACTGGTGGGCAAGTGATGTAATGCTAAATATTTCCAGATCTGTTCCCTTGAAGAAACAAACTGTGTAAATATTTATCAAATTTAATTTTGTGAGAACTGTTTTTTTAAACACATTTATTGTTAATGGTTCACTGTGGTAACCACAAAGAGAAGAACCAGAAACACCATTATGATCCCGGCAGGAACCAGATCTGAGCACTTCACCACCCTCCTAACTTCCCTCTTTAGTCATAGAGTGCTAGGCAGAATGTGAGTGTGGTATATATCCACTTCCTCATGAAGGAGGCTGTTTGAGCATTCAGGGCTTTGATAATGTTTTAGGGTGTTTCATTTCCATTTTTATTAATTCAGGCAGAGATCAAGGCCACGGCACTGTTTTATGCTACATGTGTTAAATATTCAAATGTACATTTATGGCTGGTTACTCCTTGGCCTGGTGCACATTTATACTCACTGACCTCAATCTTTATAAAAAAAATTCATGAATGCGTATTTAAAAATAAGAATATATATGCGAATATAGATAAGAATATATATAAATATGCGTATTTAAAAGAATATGAATTAAAGTTTTGAGATGAATATGATGTGGTGATAATATATAATATTTGTTTAGAGGTCAGTGACCAATAAGGATGTCAAAGATGATGAAAATGACATTTTGTTCTCTATTTTATTCTTGTTGGTTTAAAATAGTTGAGTAAAAAGTAATAAAACTAATTTTAAAAAGTGGTGATTTATTTACTTCCATGTATATTTGAACCTAAAATGTTGAAAAAAGTACATAAAAAACAAATATATAATTAATTTAATTTGTTAGTTTTTTTATGATTAAAGTGGTAATCATGAGTACTTTGCTCAAAAAAAAAAAAAGAAGAAGAAGAAGAAATTATACACTTTCAAATAAGAAAAGTATTCCCACCTCAAAAAGAATGATGATGGAATGATTAGACTGAGAGAGGTTTTAAACTTCACAGCTCAAATAAAGAACATGTTTTTAGTGACTGTTTAATGTAAGCATGCTAACAACAATAGAAGCTTTATATTTCTGCTTTTAAACCTTTGTTTTCAGAGAAAGAGAAGCAGGTGAAGTGTGGATCTGATGGAGAGGCGGCCAGCAGCTCTCAGTCTGAGAGTTCAGCCAGTCTGGGCAGCACGAAAGGAGGAGGTGAACACACGTTTTCATGCTTTGTCGGGACTTTCTGTAGACATAATGATTTTTATACTGTGCAATATGTTTGATCCTAAACCTAACCATCACAGAAGACTTTCTGCACTTTTACATTTTCAGGGAAAAAAAAAAAAGATTTATTAGCTTTCCTCATGGAGGCCTAAAATGTTTCAAAAAATTTCAGCTATTACAATCCTTGTGTGGGCATTTGGTTTCTTCAAAGTATGTTTTTCCTGAACCACACACACACACATCCCACTCCACACAATTGTATATTAAATAAACAATATGGATGTGGTTGTGTTCTGTCACACAGTACTTTTTGGTTTCAGTGTGGATAGACAAATTAGTTGCTGGAGACATGATAATACAAGGGTATTCTTGATAGGTTTGGGACAGCAAGATTTATTATTTTTTTTGATAGAAAGCAATACTTTTATTCAGCAAGGATGCATTAAATTGATCAAAGTGACAGTGAAGACATTTATAATGTTACAACAGATTTCGATTTTAAACAAATACTGTTCTTTTGAACATTCTGTTAATCAAAAAATCCTAAAAAAATTTATTATGGGTTTTCACAAAAAATATGAAGCAGCACAGCTGTTTTCAACATTGATAACAATCATGCATGTTTCTTGAGCAGCAGATCAGAATATTAGAATGATTTCTGACGATCATGTAAAACTGAAGACTGGAGTAATGATGCTGAAAATTCAGCTTTGCATCACAGACATAAATTACATTTTAAAATGCATTCAAATAGAAGACAGTTATTTTAAATCTTAATAATATATTAAAATTTTTACTGCATTTTTGATGAATAAATGCAGCCTTGGTGCACATAAGAGAGAGAAAAAAAGTCTTGCTGACCCGAACTTTTGACTGATAAGTGTATTGATGAGATACGAAAAACACAAAAAATGATGTCAATTTTAAGATTCTTTGTTGCTTCCAGGCACTAATTAAGTTTGAATGTTTTTTTTGGTCACAGCATGCCTAATCTTCTTTGACCCATCCAGCAATGGCAATGATAATACCGTGGTATGCTTCAAAGTACCTTACAAGTACCACTTAAAGACCCCGGTATTATCATCTGATACCATCACTGGACCATGCTACTTTTTTGTAAGTGTGCCACAGGACCCTGGATGGATCTCAGGTTACAGAAATAAACCTGGACGGCAGAGTTTAGTGAACGAATGAACCCTCGAGGACCAGTGATCCGTGTGTCAGACGTGTGTGTGCATGAATAAAGCTCTGTGTGTTCCTAAATCCCATCAGATATCAGAAACATGAGTCTTTTTAGCGGCTGATCTCGGCTCGTGAAATATGAGTCCAGGACAGAGATGGACAGGTTTAACGGCTCAGGATCAGAGAAAGATGTGATGGTGCTTTTGTTTGACTGTGAGTCTGTGAGCGTGTCGCGGCTTGATTCATTCCCTACATGCACGGATCTGTATGATCACTGCAGGTGTGGAGATATGAAAATATTCTGTTTAAAGGTTGATTTATAAACTAACTATTGTGTCTGTGATCGCCTCATGCTGATCCAGGAGGCTTGAACCTGTAATAAGTGTAATGTAAATTTATAAATAAATCTGCCATGTTATATAGTTCATTAGCCTAACTGCTGGTTACGGTTTCCAAGAAACAGAGTAATTTGTCAACCGCTTAAAACGTGGCTCATCCAATCAGAATTGGGAATCAGAACTAGCTGTTTTATGGATTTTCAAATAAAATCACACCTTTTTTCCACTAAACATCAAAAGACGGAAAATATAATTTGGATAAAGAATATGACGCCTGCTTTTGATCATAGTTGGTGGATGGATTTATTAATTTTCTATGTATTCTTATTTTTGCATGATTTAAATATTCGTTTAATTTATATATA